ATTATCCTTTAGTTATCTGTTATTAGTTAAATCAACTATTGTAATCATTAACTACAGAAAGGGTAAAAGGAACCCTTTATAACGAATATTAATATATCGCGAGTGATTAAATGTTGATAAAATCTTAAATAAGATTATATATATTTTTTATTAGGCTACGCAAGTTTATACCTTGGTTTCATAACATGAAACTTTTCAACAACCGGCCAGCTTTTTTTAAAAATTTTATATGTAAAATTTTATAAAACTTAATATAAATTTGTTTAAAAATACATCAGTTATTATCGCGCTTTTCAAATTACTGTGATCAGCAGATTGTCGATCATCACATAAAATCTTCAAAATTTCAATTTCTCGTTTACAAATCAAAATTTCCAAAATTCCTCTTTTATTTTCGCTTTTCTGATACAATATTTAGCAGTAGTGATGGGCAAATTACGGTTTTTCAAAAAATTCCGCGCGGGATTCATTAAATCTAGGTGCCACGCGGTTGAGCCCCAATTTTGATTGGCCAACGGCTGTGATATACAAAATTTTGGTCCGCATTATACATAACTAGTTCGATAGGTGGCGCTTCGCGCCACCTATCTTATTTAATATTCTTTTTTATATTTTATTGTGTTGTTGTAAATTTATTGTTAAATTGAATTAAAAAAATAAGTAGTTGCGCAATGTAGTTGTGCAAATCAGGAATGGAAGAAATTTATGTAGGTACCATTTCAGTAATGGGAAACATATTCTTCATTGTAATCTATTCTTGGTATAATAATATTACTCTTTTAAGAGAAGTTGATAGTCTTGCAATTTGAATATTTGTTTGAATTTCCTTGAATGATTCTAAAAATATATTAAAGTCAATGTCTTACTGTTATATAGTTTGCTAGCTAGTGTCACTAATATTAATGAATTTGACGAAAATTTTTGGGGCACTGCAAAAAATGTTAAAATCTATGAAACGTAATTTATCGAGCATTACGTATTTAGAAATGACCGACAAATTCTTTCGATTAAGTTTTTAAGAAATTCGATGAATATTACTAAGTATTCAGTATTGAGTCCTTTATATGTGTATTAGGTGACTAATTTTTGTATATAAAAAAAATCATTTTTACTATTGTATCTTTGATTTTATAGGTGAATGCACTTATTCATAAGGCTTTTTTTAAAATGTTGATGATGAATAAGTTATGCGGACCAATCAATTCTAAGATTTTGTGTATAGAGGCATTCCTTCTTGGTACTACGTTTTAAAGTATTGTAGCCATAGTGACAGATTACCTAATCATATGTTGAGAACCGCACACACCATTTTACTTGCTAGTAAACCATCTTCTATGTACTTCGAACAGGAGGGAACGTACTCGATCCAAAATGAATCCCACACACGGTGTGGTCAATTAAAACTAAAATAAATAATTTTAGCTTTAATTGATCACACCATGTGTGGGATTCACTTTGGATCGGGTACGTTCCCTCCTGTTTGTACTTCGTATACCGTTCCTGGTATGAATAATAATTTGTTATTATTTTTAATATAATGTCAAACTTGTTTTATTATTGAAGTTAAAATTAAAGTTTGTGTAAAATTGATAATTTAATTATTGTATTAGATTAATAATTTTAGTTTGTTAGATAATTTATTGTAATTATTTTTTTTTCGTTATAATTATGCTGTCTGTATGCGTGATTGACTTATGTTTTTGTGTTTTGTTACTAAGTTTAATAGATATAAAATTGATTTTGTTAAATTTAAGATTTTTTTTATATTATGTTAGTATGTTATTTCTATGAATTATTATATAATTTCGTAATTTGTATTTCAAGGTATAGATTTTTTTAGCTTATATGTTAGATGATACTTTTTTTATTTTATACAGTTTTATTTGGAATTATTTTGAAAGATTATTTGTGTAAGAATTTTTGAGATCAACTATGTATTATCTGATTATGTGAAATTTTAAGAGAAGTTGATGTATATTTGAGCTTTTTTATGGCATTTTAATTTTGTTAATAATTTATTATTATGTATGAATTTTGATGTCACTTTTTTAACTTTTTTTAGTTAGTGGTTTTTGTTTATGTAAATTTTTGTAAGTTTTTGTTGTGAGTTTTTTTAGTCAAAAATCTATTGTTACGATCTAAAATAGGATCGTCAATAATTTATTAAAGACGATTGCATAATTAAACAATAGTATATATTAATTAATAGATATAGTATATGTATAGTGTAATTAGTAGATATAGGGTATATAGCATAATTAGTAGACATAGTGTATATAGCGTATATAGCATATATAGCACATAAAGTAGATGTAGCATATATAGAAGATATAGCATATATAGCGTATATAGTATATATAGTGTAAATAGTGTATATAGTGTAAATAGTGTATTTAGCAGATAGGGAAAAAGTATATAAGTAATGAATTTAGATAGAATACATAACATAGAATAGAATAGGACATAGAATATAGTAATAAATACTCACCTTACACTTGCCAAATCCAACACCTCTTTCGAGTGTTGTGACATCCTACATTATGCTAACAATGTAATGGCTACCTTATGAATAGGGAATTCTAGGGTAGTTCTGATCAGAATCATTATACTATATAAAATAAGGAATATTTTGTCTTGAGATTTTTGTTTATTTTTTTTATTTATGTAAAATCAGTATATTTAGTTTAGTATATATATATTTACATGTATTAGGTTATTATGCTGTGTTATACAGTTACTATTGTAAAAACAAGATATGTTCGTTTGAGTGTGAAAGAGGATAGTAATTTAATTACATCAAGGGCTATTGGTGCTTATCCAGTAGGGCATGAAGATAATATAATAGAAATAGTTTTATTTATTCCTAATAATCCTAATGAGAAGGATTTTGAAACTCAAGTTATTTTTAAAAGAGATGGTTATTACTCTGTTGGTGATAAAATCATACTTTAGATTTATGAAGGCAAGAAGAGATCAAAGATATTAATTAGATAATTAAGAGATTTTATAGGACATATTTGTTTGTTATTATTTTTCTATTATAAATAATTGTTTTAACTTCTACTTATATAATAATTTTAAATAAGGATCTCAAATTAAATAAGTGTTCTTTGAGAATTTCTATTATTGGAGCTGCACATAAATTACTGAATGTGCTAAATAATGATAAGAATGTTATTTTTAATATGATAATTAATAATTATATTAGTCAAGATTGTAATTTTATAGTTAAAGTTATCTTCCCACATCTCAATTCTTGATTTTCATACTTGAAAAATGCAATTTATCTGCAGGAATCACTTGTTTTTATTGTCAAGCAATTAGAGATCATTTATAATAATTTTTATATTTATACTAAAGATATTAATCTCATTAATATTAGTTCTTTTAAGAGAAGAGTCTTTGATAATACTTCTAGTAGTTTATCAGAAGTTATTAACAGTATTTAGTCAAAACTTCTTTCCATATATTATAAAATTAATGAAAGTCAAAAGGGTATTGATAAAGTTGAGACTTTATATTCAAATGTTTTAAATAATTTTGTTAACTATAATTTTGAACTTGCATTATGTTCTAAGCATGCAAGAATTAAAAATAGTAATAAATTCACTGATGTATTTAATGATACTGGTGTTAATAATAAGAAGTTAAATAAAGTTAATAATTTAAATAAAGTTATTTGTAATGATTGAATTAAAAATATATCAGAAAACAAAAGATTTAAAAAAAGCAAAAATGGTAAACAGGTCATAGGTCATTACTTGTATAGTGATTCAAGATTAACTAAGTCTGATGCAGATATTGTTAATTGTATATAGTTGTTAATTGATTTATTCAATTTGTATATTATATTGATTTATATGCAAAACACAATATTTTTTTTATATATATGTATAAAAATACAAATAAAAGTATAGTTTATAATAAATTCATGTTTTTAATTATTAAATATGAATTAGTTTTATAACTTCAGAATTAAGATACTTTTTTTTAATAATGTGTACTTCAATTATTTTTTAATGAAAGTTTAAGTATACTATCTAGTTTGTTTATAAAGATGAAGTGTTCTTATAAATAGTATTTTATATATAAATTTAGTATATTAGATTTAATATATAAATATAAACTTTTGGTATTATTAATGTTATTCATTCTTTATTTTTAAAAATTATTCTGATGTTGTTTAACTTTCTATTTTACATGTTATAACAATAATTTGTTATAAAAAAATTTTTTTTATTTTAGATAGATTATGTTTAAAAAAGCATTTACTGAAATATTTTTTTTTCTTAGTAAAGTAATATTTTTATAAATGTATTATTTGTAATTTTTAATCTTGTAATACTTTTTTGTAGATAACATAACCTGGAATATTGGCATTCTTAATCAATGCTTTAATGTTATGATGAGATTGAATATATGAGAATGCAACATAAAGTTGACCATATATAAATGAATGCTCAGAAAGATTAAGCCCTACCTGAAATATAGTCTGACCTTGGAACTTGTTAATTGTTAAATTAAATACAAGTCTTATCAGAAATTGTCTTCTTTTTAAGGTAAATAAAAACTTTACATTGTTTAAAAAGAATAATAATATTTTTAATAGAAATACATTATTTTCTTTATAGTTGTCTATTGATATTTTAGCTTTTATTACATTTGAATAAAAAGTTTTGTAAATTAGTCTTGTGCTATTATACAAACTATTTGCCAGATTTAATTTTCTAAAACATAGAATTAGTACATTTATTTTTAAATTTAATTTGTGTAAAGGAAGACCATCTGATGTGATAAAATTTAGAAATTCTTGTTAATAAAGTCTACAAGTATCATTAGTAATAGAATCATAACTATGGTAAGTCATAGTATTGATCAGATATTTGGTTTAGAATAATGTGAGTAACTTTATCTACATAATCATTTTTAATAGTGAGAATTGCTCAGTTAGTAAAGAATAAGTCATTTAAATTTTGATTAGTTAAAACTGAATAAACATAAGAAATTGTAATAAATCTTTATTTTTTTAAAAAATAACTATACTATTAGAAATTCAGATTATGTCATTTTCAATTGCTGGTTTAGTTCTGTTTTCAATTTTTAAGATAAAGTTCCTAAAGTTATTTTGATGATTTTGAACTCTTATGTTTCTGTTAAGATAAAAAAATTTTTTTTAGTCTATATATAAAAACATTTTAATAAAGTATTTACTATTTGTACATGGTTTTCATATTGGATAACTAGTAGTATTGACAAAAGTTCTCACCAAATACAACAATTTTATTATCAAATAGAAGGGCACATTTTATTAGATCTTTAAGAATTCAATCTAAAGTTTCTACAACATAATGATGTGTTATAGAAATTTTATCACATATTATTAGTCTAGGTAGATAAAATAGTAAAGCTAATTGGCTTTATTAAATGATAGCATATGTTAAATTTGAATCAAGAGTTAAAGGTATATTGAATCATAAGTAGGCAGTTCACTTTTTAGGCATAATTAGCACAGTAATATCAGATGAATCTATAGTAAATGCAATGTATAAATATAAGTGAACTTCATTGAATAACAAAAGTAAAGAAAAAGTTTTTTCAGATCTGACAGGTTCATCTACAAAAAAAATACTAAATAGATTTTTTTTAACATGATTCATAATTTCATCAAATATCTTTTTGATTTTTATTTAATTGTTTTATCTTTTTTAAATTATTATTATTTGACAAAATATTTAATTTTTCTGTTAACAATTTTGATAAATTTTCTTGAATTTGGTTTTCTGGTAGTTTAAGTTGTGGAAGATCATATTTACTCAATTTTTTATAATATTGTTTTAAAACAATTTTGATTTGAATTTATTAAAAATTATTTATTAGCAATACCTTCTTTAGTAAAATCTTCAGATATAGTAATAAAATTGTTATTTTATAAAGTTCAAACATTTTCTGGTTCCTTAAATATTAATATAATTGCAAATAACTGTCTTAAAGCATGAGCATTTTAAAAAAAGCAGCTTTTCATATGGCATTATAATACAGATTTTTATTTTCTATAATCCTCCACATTAATGCACTTTCACAAAATTTTGCACATATGTAATTTTTAACAGTTCTAAGATCAGTAAAAGAAATGACACCTTTTATATAATTGAGAAGCAATTGTAAATATTAATTTTCTTTTTTATTTGGGTTAACTATATACATTCTTCCTATTATATTTCTATGATAATATTTTTTCTTTTTTTTTTAGTTTTGTTCCAGATATAGTAATATGGAAATTTATGATATAAGTAATTTCTTGCATCAATATCAGTTTTATTCATTTTAAAATACTCAGTTAACATTATTTGTTTATTTTTATTATTATTTAATACATTTTCAAGATATGTATCTTTTAAAAATGTTACAGTTTGTTGATAGGGAAGATGAACTTGTAATTAAAGTACTGAAAAATAAATTCATGATATTTCAAACCCAAAAATCTGCCAACAAGCTTTTGAAGCAGAAATCTATCTGGCATTCAGGTATTTACTAATCTTACCTTTATTAGTTACATTAATTGCAGCTTTGTTATAGCCTTTATAAATATATTTATATAAGTATTTGATTGATTTTATGTTAGAACAATTTCAACATTAATATGACAGTCATATTTTAAAGATAAATAAGAATTGTAAAAAACAATTTAATGGTTATCTAATTACACATTTCTGCAAAAAACTTTTTGCTCATTATCACAATGTTTATATACTAGGTAAGAATTAACACTTTTTCTTGTTACTTAAGCAAATCTTTTAAAATAATGTTTAAAACATATACTATTTTCATAAATAGTACTTTAGTATTTAAAGATCTACATGGCCTATGTATTATGTTAATAGTAATAGTTTGATGTAATCTCAGATATATTGTTGAATTTGGAATTTCTGCAAAAATTATTGCATTATAATTTTTAGTTCTGTAGAGTTTATCATCTGAATAAATTATTACTAACAAATATGCATATGAAAGTCTGTATTTTTGAAATTTTATAATATATATATAGGATATTACTTAACTAAATATATTATTGTCTAGGATATCTTTCAATATTTTTTTCAATTTAGCACAAAAGATTTGAGCTACATAAAAAAAAAGGAAATATAATTTATTTCAATTCTGATTTAAAGATAAAATTAAAAATTAATATAATATATATATTTAAAATTTAATATGTTAAATATTATATACATATTTAAAATTTAATATGTCTAATATTAAAATTTAAATTACTATTAGAGATTGTTATAATTTTTGATAAGAACTTATATACTAAGTTAATTATTATTAATATGTCAAATTGTAATTTTAATCAACAATTGTAAATAAATTAAAGCATATATATATATATATATACATATATGTTTATTTATAAATGCATATATACACATGTATATATAGAGATGTATATATATATATATATATATAAACATATACAGTACCTGTTAGATCAGGTCTATTTTGTAAGGTCTGTTCTGAAAAAAGTTCAAAAGAAATTTTAAACTATTTAAGGTTATATATAATAGTAATAATAGATCAGGTTTGTAAAAAGTTTGTATTAATGCTATTGAGTCTTAGTATCATTAATATATTACATGGTCTACTTGAAACAAAGAAGGTAAGATAGATTTTGTTTCTATCTTTGACATACCTGTTATCCCCAAGTAATAAGAATCTTGTAAACCTTGATATAATTTCTTATGAAGTTTATTTTGATTAAATCATAAGTAATTAAGTCTTTTGGATTCTATTTTAACATAATTGTCTGCAACATATGTTGAAAAAGTTATCTTTTATAGTGAAATAATAATAATAAATTTTGTCAAATGTGTAACTTATAAAAATAATATTGTCAGATAATTACTTTTTCTATGTTAAATTTTGTAAAATTTCAGAATGCCAACTATAATCACCTTGCAGAAAGAGTAAAGACTATCACATTAGATCATAAGAACTACTTAATTCAGAAACATATTGTAGTTTCTAAGTTTTTGATTCTATAATTATGTTTCTTTTCAATATATTTACAGGTTTATTATTATCTACTTATACAGTTGTGACTTGCCATATTATAAGTATGTTGATCTAAATTATTACCAGTCTAATAAGTAGTTAAAGGTCAATAATATTGCTACAGAAAGCAATCAAACAAAAATTAGCAATAAAAGAGTTATAATGGTCTAGTACTAATTTAATAATCTTTATAGTATTATAACAGAACTTAGACATAATAGCAAGCCTATTATCTATTTCATGTTCAGTATCATATATATATATAACTTCAGTTTAGGTCGCAGATAAAACTGTCTGAGCTTTAATTCTTGCATGTAATTTTTATTTTGTAGTTTACAATTTTAGTATATCTTAGTATATAGTATATTAATATGTACAACTAAAATTACTAATAAAGATATGAGCAAGGCCTCACCTTAAAAAAAAAAAAAATATATATATATATAACTTAAAAATTTTAGTATTCTATTGTCTGCAAAAAAAGATCCAATAGAGTGATATATATTACTTTGCACTTGAACTGTATATACTTCATCTTTATCTATTAAAAATAGAACAATTATAAATTATTCACAATATAGATTATTTATTAAAATAGAAATCTATTTTTACTATTAGTAAGATTTTTATCTAATTTGACTTTTATAGATATAAAGGCAATAATATTGTTATAAGTACAAATATTAGTATAAAAATCTTTTTTTACATTATTGAGACTAGTAAATAAATTTCTTAAAGACATAATAGGTTCAGACAAAACTAATTATAAAATAAGTATAACATATAAAATTTATCTGAAATTTGCAGATCTATAATAAACTTACTAAATTTTTTCTTTTAACCAACATATCCCTTCTGTTCTATTTAAAAAAAGTTTAGCAGTACAATAATTACAGATGTGAGAAGAATCTAAAATGTAATGAACTGCCATTGCTGTTTTCTGAAAATGTAAGCCAATTTTATGCTGTTTGCTAGTTTTAGCTTGTGCTTGTCAACATCTCTGTTTTTGAACATTATTAGCTAATTTGATATCATTAGTAGATCATAAAAGTCAAACATAAGGAGGTGGTATTTCAAACAAAATAAAGATAGAAAAATGATTCAATAATTATATAAATCATTTAGTTTAAATTTATATTTGATTTTTATTAACATTAACATATAAATAATTTTTGCTAATATGCAATATACAATAAACTTGAATGGTTAGAATAAAAAATTTTGAATTTGAAAAAAAATAAAAAAAAGTAACCAAACACACACAATCAAATATGTTATAACTAATCCATACTCAACATAATATATATTAATTTATTGAAAAACTATTCATAAAATGTAATTCAAATACATAATACAACTAATATGTTAATATATTAGTAAATATCATAACTCAATTAACAATATATTTAATCTAAAGTTTTATATTTAATAATTTTTTTGGAACAACTTGTAATGTCATAATAAATAATCACAATGTAATTGTTTTTTCATCTTTTTTTTACATAATTATGTTCTTTAATTATAACTTAGTGATTAAATTTCTGGTAATAATAATATTAATCTGGTAATAATAATATTTAAATAATTACAAATGCTGATTATCTAAAATCAAGTTAGTGAAATTTATTGCAAAATTATGTAAAATTACAGTTATAAAAATCAAATTATCAAAACTTACTACAAAATTACATAAAATTATAGTAAATAACAGTAATTTTATAACCGTATTTAGAAATTAATTCTGTTAATAACAGCATAATTAGCAATTTTCAATTTTAAATTGTAATTTGTAGATCAGCAATACTAGTAGTAATATAATTTATATGCATATTTACACAATTGATATATGTTACAATGTATATATTATTCATAAGACAATCAAGTTTTATATAGATAGAGATAGTTATAGATAAATAGATAGATATAGATATAACCAATCAGAAATGTTTAAATAGATAACTCTGTTTTAGATAGTATAGATTTTGGCTGGAGTTTAATTATGTAATGGTAAAATTAACTCAGAAACATATTTTACTTAGGGTTGAAAATTATATTTTACAAATTTATAATATATGTAATTTTGCAGAATATATAGTATCTAGAGATAGTAAATTATAGTTTCTCTAAAAATCTTGCATGGGATTTATTAAACCACAAAATTTTAAACCCTAATTTCACTTAATGGGCAGCTATGATTTTTTTACTAAAATTCAAATAATTTTGCTTAAATTTTTGGTCATTGCCATTGGCCAATCAAATAGTGAATTTTCACATATTTTTTGCAAGGTTTAATAGCAGTAATTACATTAAGCACATTTTTGGTTAAAGGTTTCAACTGATCCAATTTTTGTATTAATGCTAGCCAAATATTATGCTAATTTTAGCCAAATAATTTAATTTCAGGATCATATTAAAAATTCCATGCAGAATTACATATAAATCTTGCATATGCCTATTTTTATTTAGCAGTATACAAGACCTAGTTGTCTGTATTGTTGAATAATAAAGAAAAATCTTAAATTTTTTTTAATTAGTAATTAAATAATACTAAACTATTTTTATCTTTTCATTATTATCAAAAAAATCTTTTATTTTCATTTTTTTAATATTACATTTAGTAATATACAAAACTTAATTGTCTATATAGTTGAATAATACTGGATTGTTTTATTATCTTTTCTACTATCATAAAAACTTGTATATTTTTTAAAACTATATTAAACATTGTTATTTTCTTATAATTTTTTTTACACTTTTTGTATTTTTTTTGTATTTTTTATTTGTAGTTTTATTTGTATTTTATTTGTATTTTTTTTATGATTTTTTTTTGTGTTGTTTTTTTTGTATCTTGTATTTTATATTTGTTTTTTATATTAACATTATAGCATGTTAGTAGTAGTAAGGAATATAATACTAAAAAACAAAAATGCCTATGTGAAGCACAGGTATTTTTATTTTTTTACATCTTTTATCTTATAAATAAGAACAAAAAATTTAAAAAATATTTATAAAAAAAGTTAAAATACAAAAAATGTTAAAACTCATTGATTTAAAAGAATATTTGATTAAAATAACATTGTACAAAAACTTAAAACAATAATTAAATAGTTTTGTCTTTAAATTATTCTTTTTTTTTGTTAAAATCTTTGTTTTTGAGTTGCAACATTTTTATTTAAGTTATAAAACATAAGTGCCACTAGAGGCTTCTTTATATTAAAGATTACAACTAGTCGTATATGTACTTTTGATGTCTAATTTAAGTTGTCTGCTTATATATTATTATATAAGTTCTACACTAAATGCTATACTTGCAAGTCAGTTATGAGTCTTGTCTATTTAAACCCTCTGCATATACAATTCATCTTGTATTATAAAAACATCTTAAAGTGCTGCTCATCTAAGTTCCTAATGCATATTAGTATTTTAAAACTAGTTTATTATTTACAAAAAACTTACTAGAACCTTTATATTTCACACATATTGTTATAGTTTTCTATAATATATTATAGTTATTTAATACTTGCAGTCATAGGAGTTATTTGTTTAACTGTTATGTTATACTATTTCTATTCTTGTAAAGTTTACTAAAAACCCAGTACTTATCTTCTCAGCATCTTTCTATTATCTTTTACTAACTACAACTTAGAACTGCCAGACTCTGGTCAGACTACCAATTCAAATGGCCTAGTATAGTATACTTTTGTATTCTTTTAGCTTTAGTAAGTCTGGTGGCCTGGTTAATTATGTATTTTCTCTTATATATATTGGTGTTCAATTTATTAACCTGTTTTTATAAAGGTGTTTTGTAGACTTCAGCTAGTCTAATAGTATTATTAAAAGTTTATGCTATCTCTTTACTTAAAAATTTTCAAATAGGATTCTGTCTTCTTAGTTTTTTAGTCTTCTGTATCTTGTGGTCTTATTATAAGTTTACAATAAAGTTTTATACAATACTAGTTATTAATATTCTTCTATATATATATAACATTACACTTCATATAAATATCTAAGCTCCTAATAATAAGTAAAATTTGACTTAGTATATTTGGATTACAGTTGAATATAACCAACTAATTGACAGGAGACAATTTTTATAATACAGATTAATCTTCAAATTTCGTTATAAATGATGTTAACATTAATAGTTTTGATCATAACTTTTAATGTACTAACCTAAATTGTATGAATTAACTACTATTGGATTCAGCTCACCAAAATGATTCTAATGAGCATAAGATCATGTGATCCTAATCATAGAATCACAAGATCAGGATAATGTTGATGAAAGTACTAATTCTAGTACATGTGACTTAATTCTAATTGGCTCACATTACTGTGCCAAAAATCTAACAAATCTAATATTTTTAACAGATCTATTAGATCTAACATGTCTAATATATCTAACATATCTAACAGATATTACATATCTATTCTATCTATCATTTCTATTATATCTTTTATATTTATTATATATATTATATTTATTATATCTATTAGTTCTTATATATTTTAACATTACTATAAATAGCATTTATTAGCAATAGAATAGTCTTTATTATAATAACTTATACATATAAAATATCTATAAAAGTACTGCTTTCTGACTTTTTAAAAAAGTTAAGTGTTCTTACATTTCATATAAGTGTCTTTATATACTTTAAAGTGCCTTTATACTTTTTATAATAAATAAACTAAATGCAATATTTAGTATCTTCATATACTATCTATTGTTGCCTCTGTCTTAAAATCCTAAATTACTCTGTATTTTGTTAAGTCTTGTGTAGACTTTATATAGAATTTGTCAAGTTATAATTATCATACTATAGTTGAACAGCTTTTGTTATTACAGTGATTAAAGAAAAAACTACAAGTTAACAATAGGATTTGAACCTTAGACCTGCCACTTGGAGGATGACAACCTAATTACTACACTAGAATCACTATCTTCTTTAAATTATTCTTGATACTTTAATCGGAAAATTATTTATATAAGTTTTTAGTATTTTTATAAATAACAGATTATGTGACTAAATTATTTAATAATTTATTGTTTAAGTTTTATTAAATTTTTTATAAGTATTTAAATATTAAAATTAGTATTAAAGTTAAAATGTTTTAATTTTGATAAAAATAACTAATTGTAATTAGATATATTTATTTATAATTTTATAGATTATAATAGAATACTGCAATTAAATGGAATTGTTTAGAGTATTTTGAGCATATAGTTTAATTATAAAGCTTACAAAAAGTAGCAAACTTATTTTACAAATTTTAAAAGTACTTTTTATATATTTAACTTAGTAATAATGCTTATATATTCTTGTTAATAGTATATTCAAAAATAGATTTTTTTGTTTAAAATGTTTAATATAGATTTTTTCAAGTTTTTGAATTATGTTTTTCTAAGAATATAGTTTAAAGTTTAATGTAATATAGAGCAAATCTATATATAAATTTTATGTTTTGGTAAAAAATAATTGTCTACTATAATACAAAGATTTATATTAGAATAATTATTTTATTTATTTTTTTTTATTGTTAAGGTAACCTCTTTGGTCTTTGACTTTTATTAATAACTTTTTTTGTAATATAATTCTTGTGAACTATTACAAAAAAAGTATACAATTGGCTATACATTTAAACTTTCTATATTACCTATTTAAGAAGTTCATTCAAAGGTTCTCTACTAATTGCTATATTTAATACTCTTGTTTGGATGTTCTATTTTAAACTTTTTGA